CAGAGGCAGGAGACTCGCTTGAGCCCAGGAGTTGGAGGTTGCTGTGAGCTGTGATGCCACAGCACTCTACCCAGGGGGATAGCTTGAGCTCTGTCTCAAAATAAAATAAAATAAAATAAAATGATAGTCTGCCCCTTAGGTTCCATCCCTCGAGCCACTGGCCAAGTCCAATCCAATCCCATTTCTGTGTGCCCAAAACATAAACCTTCTGTGGGGTCTCCCAGCCTCCACTCTTGCTCCTTCCAATTCAGCTCCTCTCTCTCCCCACAGGCAGTGTCTTCCTCACATGCAACCTCACCACTCCTTCAGACCCTTTACCTGTGGGCTAAGCCCAACTTCTCTCAAGGCTGCAAGGTTCCTCAATGTCTAAGTTCTGCTCCTATCTCAGGCTCCCCCTCCTCCCACCCTTACTCTACTAGCTCCAGGCACACCCAACTATTTTATCTCTTTTCCATACCTTTGAACAGTGTCTCCCCTCTACCTGGAATTCTTCTTGTTGCTTGTAACCTCTCCTGGGAGGCCCCTGCATCCCTGTAAAATTTCTACTGAAGCTCCAGATGGCATATTCCCTGGGTACCACATTCATTCAGACTGCACTGTAATGGAAGACTCTAATCAAAGCAACATAAACTAAAAAGTTTACTTTCTTTTTTACACAAAAAGTCTGGAGGTAATCGGCCCTGCGCTGGATTGAGAACTTCTAGGTCATCAAGGACCCCAACTCTTTCTTTCTGCATCCATCTTCAAGATTACCTCACAGTCACAATATGGCCACTGCAGTTCCAGCCATCGCACCTGCAAACCAGACTGCAGAAGGTAGGACGGACCAAGGGGAAAAGGGTAGGCCTCTTGTGGAATAAGACTCCTTTAAGGAGTTTTTCTGGAAGCTCTGATGACTTTGACTTGCCTCCCAGGGGCCACCTCTATTTGTAAGAAAGTCTGGGGAGTGTGGTGGTATTTAGCTGCAGCCATTGATACTCCCAGTAATGCAGAAGTTCTGCTAGGAGGAAGAGGAAAATGGATTACATGCATGACCAAGAGTCTCTGCCTCTTAAACCTCCTGTGACCCTGAAGGTGGCACCTTTCCTCTAGGCTCTCAGAACACTCCCCACCTTTCTTGCCATAGCACTTACCACACCCTACCTATCCCCAAGCCAATGGATGGCTGCATGGGTGGCACTGCTGTCTCCCCTGTTTCTATGATAGTGTCTCATTGCAACACCAGGCCCCAAGCTTTAAATTTCATTATGGAGACACAAGGAATTGTCAAAGATACTTGAGCAGGGAAAGATCATGATCATAAGATGCTTTAGGAAAATTAATTTTAGTACTAGATGCAAAGCAGTTTGGGAGCAGGAAGATCAGCAAGGAGTCTCCTGTGGTAAACAGTTGGGGTAAAACAGAATAACAAAGGCATAACACCAACACATTGGCAGTGGACCTGACCCTCAGAGCATTCCAGTAGTCTGGTGAGTTTCAACTGGTGTGCCATGAAATTTTTAAAAAATCATTAATTAAATTATTTTTGAAAGAAGTTCAAAGCACTGTAAATATATTCTTTTTTAACTTTTTTTTTATGAACATAATTTAAGTGTCCCAGAGAAGTTTAACTATAGTTTCAGTGTGCTGTGATATAAAAATGGTTGAAAAACACTGCAGAATTCTAGCAGGGCATTGTGGTAGGCACCTGTAGTCCCAGCTTACTCCTGAGGCTGAGGCAAGAGAATAGCCTAAGCCCAGGAGCTGGAGGTTGCTGTGACCTATGACACCATAGCACTCTACCAAGGGCAATAAAGTGAGACTCTGTCACTAAAAAAATAAAAATAAAAAAACACTGCAGCAGTCAATCAGCATACTTTAGGACCTTATCAGAGGCAGAGGTAGGGACGAAGCCTTCGAGAGTCCCCACACACCTTTGTTGGCTTCCCTGCTGCCCTTCTGGTGCTTCCTGGGACCACTTTCCAAATAAATTCTCTGCACTCAAATCCTTGTGTCAGGGTAACCCAACTAAGACAATGACCTTTGGTGTCCATTATCATGAGCATCTGTTTCTTGAGAAAGCAGCCCCTTTTGGAGGTCTTTAATTTAGACAAGGTTAGCGTTAGTGAGAGGGTTAGGGTTGTACTCAGCCTGAAAAGTCACATAGCCTTTCCCCCCAATACTAGCACATCAGAAGTCAATGAAATCATCTAGGATCTACAACCAGATTACCGTAGTCTTCACCTTCCTGTGGGAAGCTAAGGTGATCTTAGCCCTGAGCAGAAAGGGCTAGGAACAGATCAATTACAGCAACAAATATAAATACATTAATAAGTGAAAAAATTGTCAAACCAAGACAAGGATAAGAAACACGAAGTACTAGTAGCAGAAGATGTGTTATTACATGGTTATATTTTGGCACAGTCTCCTTTACAGAGTCTATTCTTGGCTGTTACCAGTCAAATCCAGGGAGTAGGTGGGGAAAATAGGAAATTGTTGCTCAAAGTTTCCATTAGGAGAAGTAAGTTTAGTGCACAGTGTGGTTAACTATAGTTAATAATAATGTACACTATCATGTATTTCAAATGTTCTCACCACAAAAAAATAAGTATTTGAGGTAATAGATATGTTAATTAGTTTGATGTAATCATCCCACATCGTATACACATATATCGTAACATTGCTTTGTATCCCATAAATATGTATAATTATAATTTGTTCATTGGCAATAAAAACTTTTTTTTTTAGACAGAGTGTCACTATGTCACCCTCGGTAGAGTGTCATGGCATCACACCTCACAGCAACCTCAAACTCTTGGGCTTACATGATTCTATTGCCTCAACTTCCCGAGTAGCTGGGACTACAGGCACCTGCCACAATGCCCAGCTATTTTTTATTGCACTTGTCATTGTTAATAGGCCTGGTTCAAATAGGTTCAAATTTGCCAGCCCCAGTGTATGTGACCAGCACCCTACCCAGTGAGCTATGGGTGCCACCAAAAAAACTTTTTTTTTTTTTTGCAGTTTTTGGCCAGGGCTGGGTTTGAACCCACCACCTCCAGCACATGGGGCCAGTGCCCTACTCCTTTGAGCCACAGATGCCACCCAAAACAAAAACTTTTTTAAAAAAAATCAAATTCTCTTGGCTCAAGTGGCTAGGGTGCCAGCCACATAAGCTAGAGGGTTTGAATCCAGCCTGGACCCGCCAAACAATGACAGCTGCAACCAAAAAATAGCTGGGCATTGTGGCAGGCACCTGTAGTCTCAGCTACTTGGGAGGCTGAGGCAGGAGACTCACTTGAACCCAGGAGTTGGAGGTTGCTGTGAGCTGTGATGCCATAGCACTCTACCCAGGGGGACAGCTTGAGGCTCTGTCTCAAAAAAATAAAAATCAAATTCTCATTGCCAAGTCCATATGAGGATCACTGTATGATCAACTACTCTTCTTGAAGCTGTGGGGTCTTCAAGGTCCTCCTTTTTGGGTTCCAGAGGCAGACTCTGTCCTTTCTGTGGAGTAGGGGTACAGCCCTCTAGTGAACAAAAGGCTCTTTCTAGGGCCAAGGTGTTGCCTCTGGATATACAGTGTATCTCTTTCCTTCTGGACTGTGGCTTTTGCTAGAACAAGTCTCCCTAGTCAGTAAGGACCACATCTCTGTCTTTTACCACCCCACCCCCCAAGTGATGGGATTCTTCCTCCCCCACCGCCCTCCTCCCAGGCCAGGTAATGACTCAAAAGCCTGTTCATGCTCCACTGAACCCTGATATGTGCAACCCCAAGTAGCACACCCAAACACATTGCTCCAAGTA